ACACCATACAAACTTCAACCTAATGAACTGTCTGACTCTTTTATCTGATTTAAAGCTAGCACTACAGAAACACTGTACAATTCAGAAAGCTTAAAAGCTTAAACAGCCATTCAAATCTAATGCACACGCCTCGATTAAGCCACACTGAGTCGGCTGCCTTCACTTTCCGTGCCTGATCTGTCAAGGTGCCTTTATCAGCACACGTCATCTAATTGAAGCAACAGCATTCAGCGGGAACCGCTGATGTTCCCTCACAGGCACTTTGTTAATGCATGTAAATCCAAACAAGCAAGTCTGTGTTGTCATGCAAAGCCTGGAGGAAAGTAGCAGCTTCCCACCTTGATGCTAACATCCCCACAATACACAATGCACACACACGCAGAGCTCAATTAGTCACAGCAGCAGCATCAGTTAGCCCTGATGCACCTCCCCCTCTGGACCATAAAAAGCGATAGGGAGGGGCTAAAGCTGAGCGGCTAAAGACATCCTGTAGTGCTTTGTCATTCCATAGCCCCATTTGTGCAAAGGAAACACACACACACACACACACACACACACACACACAGCTTCAGGCTTTTTAGCACAAGGAGAAAGTAACTTCAATGATCACTGGCCATAGATCAATTAACAGCTAATGTTGACCACAACCACTTCTAATACCAGTCAGACCACTTCCCTCTGAAGCGCTCATCTCCCTCACAAACAGCAGAGGCGGCTGTGCGAGTAAGTGTTCACATAACACTCAAGTAATATTAAAAATAATAGCCTTACATGCAACAACTGCATTGGCTAGAGCATGTGCAGATAAAAATACAGGGTTGCATTACAGAAACAACTTGGATTTTGTGTAATTCCATTTGCTAAATGCAATTATAAGCCATTATAACGTCAATCATTTGATACCCAGCTAATCTAATGAGTGGAACAGCCAGTGTTAGCTTGCAAATAAATGTTCAGCATTACCTCTGAGGCCTCACATGACTCTGTGGGACTGTGTGAAAGACAGCTGCAACTGGAGCACCTGAGGGTGACCTCAAGAATATAGTTCAGACATAAAGATAAAAGAGACCTATTAAACAGGCTGCCACTTTTATATGCAACCCATCTTCCTGTAACGAAAGTATGTGTGCAGCTTTTCTGTGTTGCTTTGCACCAAAAATACAGTCCTGCACAGTGAAATATCAAGCAGTGATTTCAGATAATAAGCTCAATTAAATAGCAGCTATGGTCCTTTCACAATCAGGCGAAGCTTGGTGGTACAACATGCAAGACATTAACAGTGCAATACGGCAACTAGAGAGGAGTGCTCATAAATACGAGGGAGAAGGAAAATGCCATTCATCCACACATCAAACAACAGCAGCCTGATCAAAGAGGCCCAGCATTCACTGATTCACACCAAGAAATGTCTGTTTTGTTGACCTGATATTAAAGAGCAGTCACTGAGAAGAGTCACTGAAAGCTGTCTGTCACTGCAGCAGCATTGATTCTACTGGCAATGCTGCATGTCATTTCTCCAAATGCACATCTGCCAGTTAAATATTGATTATGACTAAGAATATTTGCATTAGCACAACATCAATTCTAGAGGTACAGCTGAAATCAAAATGGCAACCTAAACAAAAACAACCCCATCAGCAATCACTCCGAGAACAACTCTCACTTCCAGAGTACAGACGGTGGTGACGGCAGAGTCCTGGCTCGCTTTTACGTACAGTATGAGTATCCAAGCCTGGGAGTAGGCCGCTGTGTTTATCCTGTCAAGGTATGTTAACACCAGGCTGCATTCCTGTAGTCCCTAAATTGCAGTGTTAGATTACAGCCCAGCTGAGAGTGCAGCACTTTAAAGGCGCTGGATGATGAAGCCGTGACCAAAGCAGCGGCAGCAACAGGCAGGGCACATGGAGGGCACACACCTGCCATTTACAGTTGTACTGCAGACAGTTAGCATGGCAAAAACAACTTCACACTTTAGCTTGAGCTCTTTTTCCTGCCAGACATCTGTATTATATACTTAAAAAATAGTATATTTGTTTTATGTGCACTAAATGTACAGATTAACTTCATCTTGGAAAAAAATGAGGGTTACTGGAGGTCTTTGCTTGGCTTTTGCATCGACATGTTCACAGGAAAATCATTTATGTTGAGAGCCAGAGGAAGGCAAGCTCTCTGCCAGCTATCATTAAAACCAGACAGGTTGGGTTTAGTTTGTTTAGATAGGCGAGAACAATGCTATTTGAAGTTGGGTGGCACAATATCACAGCACAGAGACAAGTGGAAATGAGACCCAGTGCTCTTTCAAGCAAACTGCCATGTGGCTTGTTATTAATGGATGAAGGCACAACTCCAGAAAATGACAAAAACCAGACGTGAAGATGTTAAACCTGACATTCTGTGCTGCTCATACATAAATAATATGAGTCAAAGACAAATCAAATTATGTAGTTTTTTTATCTTTTGGTTCCTAACTAGCTCCAGAGGAGGCACTGCAGCAAAGACCACAGTCAATGATTAGCTTAAATTACAAGGTCTGGAAGCAGATCGCTATCATCGCCAACTTGACTTCTATCAGTGACAGATTACCTGCTCCATCTGATAACGATCTGCTAATGTTTTTGTTAAGCGCTCTGGTTCAGTAAAACCTAATTGTCCAAAGTATAGAAATGCAAAAAATCAAACTGGAGATTTTGAGCAAGAGGAAGACAAATGAAGTCATAAATGGGCCCTTAGAACATAAACAAAGCAGATATTAGGCTAATAATGTACAATACAGCTATCAGTGATTTCAGTCATTCTTCTAACGTGTAACTGTAAAATGTGCTATGATTCATTATAAAAACTTAATTAAAGGGAACAAGGCAGACTGGACCCACGCAAATGTGAGTTCTTAGGAGCAGAGCTATAAACAATTACCTGATTGTTCTACAGACAGAAGATTAATTGAAGAACCATTCTCATATTCTTTTAGTTGATTAGGTAATATTATTAATAAAAAAGTAAACAGCCTCTATTTCCAGCATCTGAAATGACTGCTTTTGCTTTTTAAGCTTAATCTAGGTTCTCTCTCTACTGTTTGTGGAGCACAGCAATAGGGCTGCAGTAGTATAGAGACTGTGTGCTTTACCAAAAATTGACAGATTGTTATTATTTTTAAGCATTTGCTGATCTACAGCGTTTAAAAAAAAATTAACAAGCTGGTGATGGGATTGGAAAGCTGTAGCAAATTGTTTAATGTGTCAGAAACACACACAAACTTACAGCTTACTGCTTTTCTGGCAGTTTATTGCAAAACAGAGACATCAAACTTGTGGCAGTGGAGCTTTGGTACACCTGAGTCACACACAATGCTCTGTCCTACTCTGATTCTGCACTAGAATCAGACTAAGTGATAACAAAGCAGTTGCACGGATGCTAAAAATCTACTTGTCTTCCCAAACATAAAGTAGACCGGGACTTAATAAAGCAATCAGAACCCAATCGATCAAATAAATACAGCTGATGATGTAAGTGACATCTAATGGACATTCATACCAGACAGAATCTGACAGGTGTATCATCTCCTTGCTTCCTCAAAAACCTGTACATACATATTTGACCGATCAAAAACGTGCTTCTGTTTTCATTCTTACCTGATGCAATAACTGTAGAAGGCCACATATATTTCTGATATGTACACAACATAAAAAAAAACATAAACCACTGCAATTCTACAAAGTCAGCAACTTGAAAATGTTATCTGGGGATTAGTGAAATTATAATAAACATCTTTGGTAAATATGTGATAGTTTATAGGGAAAATATACAAGCATTTAATCACAAAATGAATCAGCATATACCTAATTAAGATGTCATCCTCCTTAATGAGTAAAATCTAAAAGGTGAAATCTAGCTAAAATTACCTAAGCAACCTGAGTTATCACCTGCAAGACCAAGGATGAGGAAGTAATCCAGCTTTATTTAATTATAAAGGGTCCATTTATATGAGTATCAGGTAAGGTGAGCATTTTAACGTGACAAAGAAAGAAGCTTTTCAGGGACTTTAGTTGATTAAATCAGCAGCTGGTTGCCACATCACGGTGACGACGACTGGTTGGAGGTCATGGTACATTAGCACAGGCTAATATTTGGTACATCAGCTCTTTTAAAAATCGAAGAGGTAGCTGAGGACAAACATCGTGTGTGTCACCTGGATCAAAAGGTAACAGGAAACGAAAAAGAAAACACGCACGTGTAAAGAGGAAGGGTGGAAACGAACCGAAAGGCAGAAGGCGGATGAGTTTCACCTGCAGCACATGAAAGCGCTGCGCACTGAATCACAACACCTTTTGCCATCTTGATTGTGCGCCCCATTACACGGACCGGGATGCGCTCCTTTCCCGTTACAGGCTCGTTTCACCTCAAATTTTAGAGGATGTACAGAAATGAGGAGCTAAGAAGCATTCCCATCAAGAAACCGTGGCTTAAACGCCGAGATCGCCACGAGAAAATCGGTGAAAATACACCTTTATAGGTGTTGCATCACCTTGCGTACCTGGCTGTCTCCGGTCCAGAAAAAAAGCAGCAACCCCGCCTTCACTGCAGTAATGGTACTGACCGCCATTCCCTTCCGCACACTGCTCGGGAAATTGTATAACGAACTATCAGCACAATGGATGGACACGGGAGGTTTGACGGTGAGCCACATAATCAACACTGTTATCGCACATGGTGAGGAATAGGGGAAGAATAGCCACCTTATGCCCCGCTCATTTTCCAGAGCAGACACACACACGGAGAGCTGTGGGGGTGCACTCGAACAAACGAGGCAACCGGTCCCACAAAAAATACATAAAAGGGGGATAAATCATGTTCAAGTGGGTCAGAAAAACGTGTCGATGACATAAACACCGCCAGAATAAAGAGGGGTTGTTTAAAAAAGGGGAGACGAGCAACCATTCGAAGCTGGCACGGTGCACACGGTGAGAAGTACCAGAAATAAATATTTAAATAATCACGTCTACCTGCACAAGTTGACATTTGGAGCGGTTTTTCTGGCTCCTCACGACACGCAGAGCTTTTAGGAAACGGCGAGCAGATCCTGTTCCGTGAACGGTCGAGAGCCGCAGGTGTTATTTGTGTTTATTTATAGGCCATTGGTCAGCCCCGTTATCCGCGTTCAGGTAAACATGATGATGATGATGGTGATGATGATGATGGCTCCCGTGTAGACGCGCAGAGTCACCGTCGTGTCGTCAGCAGGAGGGGGAAAAAAGGTGCTTTCCAGCCCCTCGGCTCACAGACACACCATGCCTCATAACGGTACCCAAAAATATATATATTTATGGGTTTACTTTTTTTATTGGTGGATGCAACGAAAGAGGGGGAGAGTACAGGTAAGGAACTGGCCAATGAGGGAGTCCGGATGTAGGTGGGTGTAATAACGTTAAATTTAGACAGTCCTTTGGAGCGAAACTCTATTTACACTTTCTTTACTTCGTAAAAAGAATGAGATCGTTTTCATAATGAGATATGTGAGATAAATCCCCGCGATCCTGTATAAACACCACTAAGCAGCTAACCGGTAATTACGTATTATTTCCTTTTAATACATAAAAAGCAGCAAAAACAATATATATTTCCAGCATTGTGGCGTGTAAACAAACCCGAATTTACCAGTAAAAGAAGCAAAAGTCGAAAACGTGTAATTGAAGCAATCTGCGAGGGAATCGAGAAAAAGCACGCCGAATAAGGAGAAAATGCTAAATGAATAAAGGTACGCTGGTTCAAACGGAGACAAAATGCATGCACGCGTGAAAATAAACTCGCGAAACCTACCTACTTCTGCAGAGTAAACAATACAATATACATGCTTACCTTAAGTAAGACAGCATGTGTACTTGCAGTTGGAGCAGGGAGGGGTAAAGTGGACTTGAAATAAACATCCCATGTCTTTGCCATCACCGGAGCAGCACAAAAATAAATAAATAAATAAATAAATAAGTCCCATGAATCCACCACAACAGCGTGATCCACCATCCGGCCATCAAAACAACACCCATAAAGTAAAGTTATCTTCAACAGAGAGCGCGACCACCAGCTCCGTCAGGGGGGCCGAGCAAGCAGCAAGTTAGCATGAAACTAACTAACACCGCAACAACCTCGCCCTAAAAGCTCACACTCTCAACTACAAGCTGCGCTCAGCGGGCCACGTTGTTATGCGAAAGCCCCGCAACCTGCCGCCAAGTGCTGCCGTCGTTACAAAACTGACCAAAAAAAAAGAAAAGTGGAAAAAACAAAGAGCAAAGTGTAAAATGCAAACAAGTCTAAAAGCGCTCTTTGGGTTATTCTAGCAGGCAGATAACGGTTCACTCAGACGGGTTTGCCCCATGCACCGCTAGGCGGAGAGAGAGAAGCCAGCCAGGTATAACGGTACACCACCACACTGGGATATGAACGCACTAATACGGACCAAAACTCCCTGAAATGTGCTCCAACTAACTTCCAAAAGTCCCCAGAAGAGGTGGACAGCTCATCGACAGCCCGCCTGGCTCGACCAGCAGCGGTTACGGCGGAGTTTGGACTTACCGCTGCTCCTCCTCGGGTTCGCCTGTTTTCTGCGCTTACACCTGGGGCCATCCGCCATGATCCTCTCGCTGAGTCTGAAACGCAGCGGCTCGCAAGTCACCTCCCTCCCTCCTCCTCCTCCTGTCTCTCCCGCCTCCCCCCACCTCCTCTCTTCCTCACCCCTCCCATCCACTTTACGACATCACCTTCTTTCTCGCAGAAACACCTGGTTTGCGACAGACTGCCCGCTTTTACGGCATCACCTTCTCAAACACCTCAGCACATGGCCCCTCCTACTGGCCGCACATGGGCGAGCTGGGAGCTCAGCTGCTGCTGCTGCTAACACTGCTGCTGTGTCAGAGTGGGTCCTGCTCGCACGCTGGCTGTGCCACCCACCTGACTGCTGAGTGGGAGATTGAAAAGTGTAGCAGTAAGGTGTTTCTCTGCAGGTGGAAAAGTAGAAACGTGGCGACACAGAAGAGCTAAGGGGGGTGTCAATAAGTCACTGATAAGAAGTGCTGGAGGAACACTGGGAAACATACAAGTCAAAGCCATGAACTAATTGATTAATTAAGAAGTCAGCTGGGTTTCCGTTTTCACACTTTATCAGCAAAGTGGCAAATTTATTGTTGCTTAGTTACAATTAATAGTTACACTGGAGTAGGTGATAATGGAAATACTCAAGTTCAAATTAGTACTCAAAGTTCCTGAATATTTCAAATTCAACTTTAGTAGTCAGTGTTATCAGAGACACACAGAAGCCATAATTTACTGTATATTACATTGTTGTGTCATCATAAATAGACAGTGTTGTTGAGGTGAAGCTAATTTACCTTTTTAATTTTAACTGTAACAGTATAACTTGCATGGTGTGTTTTTAAAGCGTGTTCTTAAAGTCCTTAAATAAATGTGATGTGGTTGAAGTGTGATGTATAAAGTAGCCGAGTGGTAAATATTGTACTTTTTAGCTCATTGCATGTGCTTGATACCTGTACTTACACTGCAGATTTAGATAATAAAGCAAACTATAGTCTAATCAATAAATGAAGCATGTTGTAAGTGCATGTGTTATATGTTAGAATATAGTAGACTGAGACTTTTTCAGTAATGTCATTTGCATGTGCATATTTATACATAAACAGTAATGTGCTGTGGGATGATGGGAAATAAGTGCAATAAAACATTGAAATATCTGCAAACATACATGGAAATACAGTATATAAGATGAAAATTGAGTTTTTACAATTCTAACAAGCACCTTTATTCTTCAGTGGTGCCTGAACTTTCTCAGCTAAGCTTTCTTGTAATTTCCTAAAATGGTTTTTAAAATCAGTTCTTCAGGGTTCTTGAAGGACATCCAGAGTTCTTCTCTGTCGGCTGCCTTTTGTTTCATTCTGTGCTTCTGTAATGTTGAGATTCAGGATAGTGTTCCACTGTGTGTTTTTCTATCCAGGTATACTTTTAGTGCATTGGCAGTGTGTTTGGGATTATTTTCATGCTGAAATTGCTGTTTTATGGTATTGCAGAGCATTTCTCATGATGCTTCAGAGAAAAGTAGATGGATCAAATGAAGGACCAGATTTAACTCTGAGGTTCCATGTGAGGTCTTTGCTGTATTTTTCATCTTTTTTCAGATTTTCAAATGAAGACAACTTTCAGATACTGTTCATCTGCTTTGGGTAGTTGTTTAGACTTTCAATTTTTCTATGTCTTCCAGTTGTGCAATTTCTAATGATTTTTTTAAGGACAAACTTCTTACCATGTCGGGATATGCCAATTTTTCCATTGATAGCTCTCTGGAAATCACCTTGTTGCTGTAGGTATACTATTTTATGTCTGCCAAACTGTGTTATCGTTGACATATCTTTACATTCAACTACATGAAACGGGGACAAGTCTGATAATAAAAAAATTGCTAAAGATAGAATTTAAAATTGGCTATTTGCTATATTTTCTGTTATTTGTAGACACTACACTGATTCATCCCACAGGTTAAGTGCTTTACATACAAAAACAGAGATTCCTCTGAAAACAGTCAGGTGCAAGAACTAAACTAAAAATGAATGAAAAGGCAGCCGATGAGGAAAGAAAAACTATTCTAGTGAGCTTTTGTTCAAGACCACCTAAAAATAGAAGGATAGAAAAGACTGGCTGCATGGTAACAAAATATAAAAAATGAGGGAATATATTTTTATTTTGATATTTTGATTATTTGACTTTGGGATGAACACATAACTATTAGGCAAAGGTTTATTTATTTATTGTATTTATTTAGTACTACTACCAAGGAAAGCATAGGCCAGCAAAGTTAATCTGATCTCAGTGCCAGCCCATATCAGTGAATTAATCATCTCATACCCTTCTACACAAAGTCACAAAGGACTTGCCAATTAACCTGCTTCACCAGGCTTGCAGTTGCTATGCACCTGCAAGCCCCTTTGCAACCCACCAAGCTTCACTCCAAATGTTTAATGTAGATTTAAAATGTCCCTAACAAATAAAAATAATAATTTTTTTTCGAATATTATTCTTGAAAGACAGATGATTATCACCTAAAGGCAGCAAGCTAATACCTCATAGGAAGAAGCACTCTTGCACTTTGATTTAATCTCTTCTGATTTTCTTGCTCCTGTCAGCCTATGACAAGTGCATGAAGAGAGGAGAAGGGAGGACACTCATGGGGTTTTACTCCGTTGCATCACCTCTTGTGACCACTTCTTGTATCTTATTTATATAAACTCAAATACACTTCCATATTTATTTACACTAAAAGAAGACTCTCCTCTCACTGTCTTGTGTGTCTGTGGAAATGACAGACCCGACACCAACAGTATTTACAGTTGTACACGCTTTTTTTGCTCTGTTTTTCACCGTGCAACTTTCTAGCTGCCCTGTTTGTAGCACACACACTCTTGTCCACCTCAGGTCCCGGCACATCTTTTATAGAAGAGCCATGATCAGTTGATGGAGCTCAGGTGTGTGTCAGCCTCCTCTGACACCGCACCCTGAACCCACTGCTCCAGCCCTCCCCTGCAGCTGAGCCACAAACCACACCCCGGCACAGTGTCATAGTAATCTTCTTTCAAGACATGTAGAGTAAAATACTATGTAAACCTGACCCAAATTAATGTGCTTGTTATTTATTTATTTGATTAATTATAGCATCTTATAGTTAAAAACAACTAGTTATTAAAATCAAAACCTGTCAGCTAAGAAAAAGAAATATTATGGCTGAATGCAAGTAGAGCAAGATTTTCCTCTGCAGAGACAGAAGTTCATAGACAGTTTGCAGCAGGTCAGAGGAATGACCTTTAAGGTCCACTCGAGCTATTCTTGTACCTGGTGACGATCAGGTTTCCAGTTCATACATACCAGGTGCTGCTGAACACCGAGACTTTCTCAACTAGTCAGGTTCCTCTGGATGTACCGACAGCGTGTGAAGAACGGTGGATCAAGTTAGACTGAAGGAGAATAACAGGGAAACAGCGATTACAAACAATATTTAAACACGAGAACAATCAGAGTTGATATGCAGTTTCAACAGACCACAGTTACTTGATAGTCTGAAGTCTTAACCTTCAGTGTTCACAGCAACATCTTCTATGTGCTATAATAAAGTAGAATCTTTGCTTGTTTGTTTGTTTTAAAGAAGGTTTCTTGTAAATTAGTTGCCTGAAGATAAGGAAAGGATTTCCATTTCCATAAACTTATTTTATTTTAATTTGGCCTGATATGTTTGTAAATGTCGAGATTTTGCCCTGAATGCAAAATACAATTCAGTACTTGACAACCCTGCAGCAGATAAAGAGGCAGGGCTATTATAGTGGTCGAGAATGACTGCGGAGTATGAAAGTCATACTTTTTCATCTGTTAAATAACTCAATTTGCTGCTATGTCTGTATTTGTTTGATGAACCACTACTTAAAGTAAAATATGAAAAGCTGTATTGTAAAGACTGTAGAAAAGCGTTCAGGTGTGCCCCGGGTCCTTGTGTAAAAATAAACCTCCTCAGATTACATAAGCAAAATTCAGTGCAATAATGAAGACTTGTGTATTAGTGGAACGTATTTAGTGTTGGAAATGTCATGTGACTACAAATCCCCTTTTAAAGTGCTCCTTTCTGTCATGCACTGCATATTTTTACTAGATGGGTGCGTAATACATTTTACTTTTTTTATTGTTTGTCAGAACGTGTAGGATTGAGTTTGCGATTGCAAATTTGTGATCAGTCTTTGTATCATTTCCTTTTGTTCATTTTACAGACTAAATGTGTCTCAATAGCTTTAGTTTCCTGCTGAAGTGCC